TTGTTGGTATCCTTCTTGGAAAAATGAGCACTTGGTTCATTGCAGAAGTCCTCTCTTCAGGTGGGAAACTGTTCTCTGGGACAGTCAAGTGGGAAAGAATGGAAACGATGTGAATTGAATTTCACAACGCAAATTCTACACTAGTGGATTTCTAGAGATTTTAGCTAATAAGACAGAAACCCTTCCAAAATGTTCAACATTTATTTTGCCACCTTATGATTAATTGGTGATGGGTTTTGCCTATACTAAGTGAAGACATTTAAATTAAAATAAATAATCAATGAAAGGTCTAGAATGCCTTGCTCAGTATTATATTGCCTAATAAATATTAGGTGTTGTTAAAATTATGCCGATTAGAAGAGTTTCGTTTCTTAGAAATCAAGCACATAATTAAAGCATGAAGATATTTCTGCATGACACCACCTAACTATTGGATATATTCACATTTTCCAATTTTTTTATTTCAAAGATTATGAATAATCCCAGTCAGAGTTCCCATAGTTTTTGCTAAGCCTCCTTTGCCTTGTGCTACCTACACAGTCTTCTACTAGAACTGGTTTTTAATTTACTCTAGTGGCTACTATTTTGTATATATATTTAAGTCTTTATAATAATATTATTGAGTTCTCATGAATTAGACAACAAATTTCTGCACTCAAGAGACAAAAGTATTCTGGTTATCTTCATAAGGTAAGTACTTCTGTCTGTAGTCATTCTTCAGTTGGTGAGTTTTTGCTCTATGCTGCAAAAAAGAATTCCACGACTGAGTTGAACTTGCAAGAAACCAGATTTATTTCTCCAAGTAATGGTGTACATGAATGTTTAAGCAGGTGGGATCCCAACTATTGATTCAGACTGCAAGGCATTTTGTCAAAATATCAGGCTCCGGGGGAATTTTGTCACCTTCCAACTCAACTGGCACCATTGGATTAGATCTCAAGTAAGAAGCCTGGTGGTATGGAGAAAACTGGGAAGAAAACACAAACAATCAGTATTCAAACTCGTACTCATCTTCCACACTGAGTGGATGAAGGAGAAGTGGCTAGGATTCTAAAAGTTTTGCTTCTAATCTGTGCTGTGAAGTTTCTTGATGAAGCTATATTACAATATAGCCAATAACACTAACACCATGTTCATCATTAACCTAGCATGATTCCACTCAACCTTGGGGAAGGTGGTCATGCGAGAGAAGTCCTCTGAATTTTGAAATATCAACACAGAGTCCTGAAAATCCCATAGAAATAATTTAAGTAAAAGGTAGTAGTTATTGAGAAGGAAAGGGGGATAGCTGGGGGATGAGATTCCAGAAACATTGAAAGGCTATGTCAAGAAATGAAGAGATAAAGCATCCCGATAAACTACTAAGAGAATTATGATTTTACAAAAATAGATATCCAGTTTGTTTGTTTGGAGGACACACTTGGTGATACTTAAGGGTTACTCCTGGTTCTGCATCATGTACCACTCCTGGAAGTGCTCAGGGGAACATATGTGGTACCAGGGAATGATCCTTGGTCATCTGCATGCAAAGCAAACATCCTACCCATTGTACTACCTCTCTGGCCTCAATATCTGAAACTTTTTAATTGGAAAAGTTTTTGAAAATTAGGTAACACGCTGGCAGTAGTATTAACAGTTCTGCTCTTATGTACTGTTACCATACTTCACCACCACCAAAGTGCCCAAGACCCTCCACCCATGACCCAATACTGTTTCTTACTTGCCTCATCATACCTCTGCCCTTGGCTTTTGCACAAACAATGACAGGAGGGTAGACATAAAGTATACACTGGGTGCCTGGGAATCCATATAGGAAAGGCCAGTCTCCTGGAGAGTGTACAGTCACTACCTTCCTGCTTGGACCCCTTCTGAATCCCCCAAGAGGGCAAGACTCGGAAGCTCACAGGAGTGCCTCAACAACCAGACAGCAAAGTCCTAACCTTTTCCCAGGTTTTCCAGCCGTGTTGTCTGTTCTCAGGGAAAATAATATAATAATTTCAGGAAAAGACAAAAATGATGCAAAAAAATGTATTTAGAAAACATGAGGGTGGGGGAGAGAGAGAGATACAGCGAGAGAGAGAGGAAGAGAGTGAGAAAGAGAGAGAGCGCATGCAGAGAATACATCCCAGAGTGAATGCAGGTTGAGAAAGAGGAGAGCCTCAGAAAGTAAAGGAGGGCTGGAGCGATAGTACAGTGGGTAGGGCGTTTGCCTTGCACATGGTCACCGGGTTTGATCCCCAGCATCCCATATGGTTCCCCAAGCACTGCTAGGAGTAATTCCTGAGTGAAGAGCCAGGAGTAACCCCTGAGCATCACTGGGTGTGATCCAAAATGCAAAATAAATAAATATTTTTTTTTAAAAAATAAAGGAGTTAAGCACCCAAAGTTGGGATGCAAGTGACACCCAGGAATGAAGTGCATATAAAAAGCATAAAGGGCACCTATTAAAAACAAAGGCAGAAGAGAGATTTGGGGGTTTGGGTGTGACTCAATTGGTAGAGCACATGCCTTGTATATGTAAACCCAGCAGTAAGGCGTTTGCCTTGCACGCAGCCAACATGGCCGACCCGAGTTCGATTCCTCCGCCCCTCTCGGAGAGCCCGGCAAGCTACCGAGAGTATCTCGCCCGCAAGGCAGAGCCTGGCAAGCTCCCCGTGATGTATTCGATATGCCAGACACAGTAACAACAAAGTCTCCAATGGAGACGTTACTGGGCCCGCTCGAGCAAATCGACGAACAACGGGAGGGCCTTTACCTTTACCTTTACCTTTAAATGGACCTTTGGGTGTGGGTCCCCATAAAAAAATAAAAATATAAAAAGAGATTTTCATTACTTAAATTTCCTATTATGAGGAAGTCTCATGCTTTTATCTGCCAATACATCCATTTTGTTACCTTCTCTTACTCTTCAAAGTGTTTGGCCAGTGGAAAAGCAGAGATTGCTTCTGCATTGATTCCAAATTTATTTAGCTATGAAAGGACACTTTTGTATTTCAAAGTCAAATATGGAACAAGAGGAACTTTTTTCTCAAAGCACAGATTCTGAACCTTCCTCTGCCAAGATCCACTTCCATAATAAGCTTTAGGCTCAATTTGAAGAACATATCAGAAAATGTTCTAAGTTTCCATCTTTGCCTTCTTATACAAGCAACTGTTCCTCTCCTTCCCGTTTTAAACTCTCCATTCATTCTCCTGCTTGTTAACTAAGTACCAAAATTCTCCAAACCAACATTTCCATATGCCCAAGTTTCTGGATGCAATGGAAGCAAGTATTGGTCATGCCCATCCCTAAACTCTCTCCTAAGGATTCTTGGAGAATCCTTCCGCTTTCAGGATCAGTATAATGTAAGTTATACATTCATCTATTCCAAATGGATTGCCTTTCATGGGAGGAATCAAGTGCCAACAATGCTTCCACTCCAGATCTCTGTGTCTGGACTGGTCGGATCCCAGCACACGGGTCTGGGTCTCACCTTCTCCCTTCATTTTAAGGAAGTTCTTTTCACTGCTGCCTTCTGAGCCAGACTCTTCAGAAGGGGATTCCATAAACCTCTCGAGCTCAAGTCCTTGGAAAATCCTTTTCAGATTCTAAGACAGCCATGTTCCTACTGCCAGCTAGGTTTGAATATGTGACTTCTTGCTCTGCTTAAGATCTGTATTTGGTATATCGTTTCCAGAGGGGTTATTCTAATCCAGAAGTTCTGCGTCCATGTTACTGAGTGCTCTAAGAGCCCCCTGATTAACATTTGGAGGCTGTGCCAATATGAATCTCTGATGAAAACCATGTATTGAAACATTGGAGGTTCCTGGCTTTGTTATGAAGGTCAGCTATGGACTGCACTTTGGTGGAGAGGGGTTGGCACTAACCTACAGCATTTCAGCTCCCCACCCTCAACTCCCATGTTATCAAATTGGCATTTACAAGATGCCTGACTGAATAGGCTTAGTATCTCTGAAATAGAGCAAAGTCAATTGGCCTATCAGGCATTGATTTTTCACCTGGAAGCTGGCAATGGTAATGGAGAAAAAAGGACAAACATAGGATAATTGGGTATTTTTTGGATCAAGTCTGCAGGGAACTAGGCCTCTCTATTTTCACACATCTATTGAAATAGTACTTTTGTGAAATAGTACTTAAGGAAGGAAAATTTAATTTGGTAGGAGTTTACCAAATATATTTACCAGAAACAATTTTTAAATATTAATTCAGGTTTATATTAGAATTTAGGATTTCATTCTACCCTATTAAGTGCTTTAGTCCTTCCCTCCTATCCCTAAAATCTTTCATAATTGTACTCATTTTTGCATGACATCAAAAGTCAAAACAGCCCACGTTGCTTTTGGTGTAAATTCTGGAAAGTATCTCCTATTACTTGAAGGACTTAGGAAGGATTTAGACTGCCATATGTAAAATGATCGTGGCCTCTTTTCTAGGCTTTTGGAGTAAAGCTTTCCTAAATCAGTTGGCCACCAGAGTAATTAAATTAAAGATCATAGTTCACATATTGTGTCCTGACTTTCGGTGTCATTTTATCCTGTGACTTGAATGACTGGGTTAAAGAACTATATTGTTGATTGCACATATTCCTGACTCACCATCTGTACTCAATCCTAGGCCCATCCTTTGCATATGGCTATCACCAAGAGACCTGATGCCACAGTCCCTTTAGCTGCTTTCACATTATCCTTTCCTTCCAACCGTGTGACATCGTGTGACATTCTCACCATCAATTTTTATGTCAAAAACTACTTTTGTGATCATATGTTAAGGGAACTTGTGCAGACCTTCTTCAAGAGGGGCTGTTGTTACTATTTCATGACTCTCTTCTCCATTTTACCTGAGCGATGGCCTTCACTAAAAACCATCTTTCATAGGCACTAGAAAAACTTCTCTTTTAAAGTGCCTGGGGTCCAACACATATGTACAAACCTGGACATGAATGAAAATGTACACCATTTTGTGAAATACATTTGTTATTTTATTAATTTAAGGACAGGTAGCAAATTATAGCACTATTGCAGTTAGATGGAGAATTCTGCCATCTGGGGCTTCTGAGGTTTGGTACAATAGTTTGTCTTGACAGTCTCATGTACACAGTCACTGTAGTCGGTATTGCACTTGCCACACTTGCAGCTTAGAGCTACAGGATAGGAGAAATAAGGAGCAACATGCTGTGGACATCCTGGTATTTCTACAGTTTTGTACATAAAGTCTCTGTATGTACAAACATCTTGTGATAGAGCATATTTGGGAAGAAACATCTTGCCATTGATATCCTGAAGGAAAAAACGGGAAAGACAATATGATATGACAGGAGTTTAGAAAACAGAACCAAAAAATAATTCACTTATATTGTTACCCATGAAACTCTGGAGAAATCCATTAGCAATTGAGTATACATTGATTCCCATAAAGATGAGACTGATACCCTCTTCCCTTCTATCCTTGATAGTGTGAAGAAGTTGTGGTTTAAATAAATTTGTGGGGTAAACGTGTTAGGAAATGATCTGTATTTGATGCACTAAATAGATTTACACACTATTTTAAACTGAACACTATCCTTCTAAGGTGCTAATAAACAATAGGTTTAAGATATAAGGCTGTGATTTTTGTCATTTATTTTCAGAATAGTACCAAGTCTCAGTTCAATTGATTTACAGCTAAAAGAAGTGAGATGAACTACATACCCGGGTCATACAATATCCAGCACAGATGGTGGTGTTGATGGTGATGCAATAAGCACACTCTTTCCTTTCTACGTGCATCGTATACTCAGTTGGGAAACAGAAAGACATTGCTTGGCCACACGAAAGCCCCAAAAGTACAGACATCAGGAATATAGCCATCATGCTAAAGCAAAGATAAAATTCAAGAACTGATTACATGTATCCCTTAGGAAATTCAGAAGCAACATTCACAAGAGAAGAAATGTATTGATATGTGTATAACTGCTACCTTTATCAAATGTCTACTTTGTTGTAAGCCTTGTATTAGGTACTTTTACATAGCACCTTCAATTCACTTTTCCTTTTACCCTTAATTGTGGCTATGAGCCACATACCCCAAAGTGTAGCAGCTCTGAAAAGGAAAGTGCCACTTACAAAGGACACTTAGCTCCACTAAGCAGTGAAGTGGCAAGCTTGTAAGCCTACAAAAAAAGTGACAGGCATGTATGTTAATTTAAAAATCATTCATTCCATGAAAAACTCAAAATATCTGCCTCTATAATTATAAAAAGTTAAGTTTTATCAAGCATGTTCCAGTACTGTCTTTTTCAACCCAGCCTTAAAAGGTCAGCAAACTGGTTAAGGAAGATGAGCTAAAGATAGAGAATGTGTATAGGGAAAGTCAGCTAAACTTATTCCTACCAGAAAACTAACTTCCCCATACATAGGGTTGAAATCAGCTGGTTGAGGTGGGGGAATTTGACTTTAATATTTTACTCAAAAGATACACAGAGCTCATTAAAAACGATTACAGAGGCAAAAAAAAAGAAAATGTGGATTCACACATGAGTACAATACAATAAAAAGTCAGATCCACGTGGGTTACTTTGTAAAGTGAAATAAATTTTGGCTGCTTGGAAGACCACAGAGGGTCCACTGGGCCTCAGACAGAAGGAGAATATGAATCTCAGATTCTGTATGACAGAGAATTTGCATCTGCATCAACTGACCATCACAACAATCAGGAAAATGTTTTGGTAGAATTCTTTTTAGTTCTATTAGTCCGATTAAGTTTCAGACTTTTGGGTGTAAGTTGATCACTTTAAAGATCAAGAAGATTCTTTTTCATCTTACAAGTATTATAGGTCAGCTAGGTATATTTGATTTTTTCCCCTTCTCAAGTATCACTGTCAGAGAAGAAAATACACATCTTAGTGGAGCAATACAGTTATCTTTGAACACAAACTTGTTTACTTATTCTAATAGATTACAATTTATTAGACATTTTTAATCACTCATCAAAAATATATGAATTTTCTAAATTATTTCAGTTCTATCCAGTAGCATCATTAAGCTACCATGCTAATACCACCCATTAACTGAAATCTCCTAGACTCAGTATCAGTTAAACAAAGTTTTGTCTTCAATCAATTTATAAGAAAATATGAAAATCCTATTCAACAGACTACCAGACATTTATTTTAAATTTCAAATTCCAGAGAGAATGAGACTCATAGAGAGACAAACACATATTAAACATTTGAACCATCAGTGGAATGAATAAACTGTGGTCCTTGATCTTAAAAGCCTAGTGGAAGTAATAAGTGTGAACACAAATAGCAAAAGTACAACTTGTCTTAAGCATTCTAAAAAAGACCACATTTTGATTCTAGGTCCCACAATTACCAAAGATCACTTCTGTGTATCCAAGGAACTGAATTATCCCATTTAAAAATATTTTCTGGTGGGTCAGAGAGATAGTACAATGGGTAGGGCACTTGACTTGTATGTAGTCAACCCAAGTTCCTTCCCTGGCACCCTTGTGGCCCCCTGAGCACTGCCAGAAGTGATTCCTGAGATCAGAGTTAGGAGTAAGCCGTGAGCATCACTGGGTATGCCCCAAAAACCAAAGGAAAGAAGGGGAGGTGTGTCTTGTGAGCTAGATCGATATTACAACAGGTAGGGCACTTGTCTTACACGCAGCTGATCAAGGTTTGATCCCCAGCACCACATATGATCCCCCAAGCTCCCCCAGGTGTGATCTTTAAACAGAGTCAGGAGTAAGTCCTGAGCACCACTGGGTATGGCCCAAAGAATAAACAAACAAAAATAATAATAAAGGTGTTCTGGTACTTTTTTTTTTTTGCTTTTTGGGTCGCACCCAATGATGCACAGGGGTTATTCCTGGCTTTGCACCTAGGATTTACTCCTGGCGATGCATGGAGGATGCTGGGAATCGAACCCAGGTCAGCCACGTGCAAGGCAAGTGCCTACCCACTGTACTATCACTCCGGTACATTTTTAAAAATAAAAATATTGCTGGAGGGGAAGGTTGATAGTGGTGGTGGGATTGGTGTTGGAATATTGAATGCCTGTAACAAATCATCATAAACATCTTTGTAAACCACAGTGTTTAAATAAACTGGGGACGGGGGACTTTGCTTATTTAAGCATTCCATAGGTTGTTGTCTAGATGCTTCAATTAGAACAAGAAAATCAAATTACATTGCTGATAAAATCTGGTTCTCTGGAATATTTGAACAATGGGGCTTCCTCTGTGGAATGGATCCTCACCATCCCAGGGGACTCTTTCCAGCAGATGAATGACCTAAGATATTCCCCTATCATGTTCATATGGATCTTGCCTACAAGTCAGCTACTGAGTTTTGGGTGTAGAAGATCATTAACCTCCTATATTTTAGCTTTGCCATTTATGATTCTGCATAAATTAAGTGTGTGGTGCCCTTGAAGTGAGAATATTGGTCCTGAAGTTAAATAACAGAATTCTAGTTCAGGATGTCTCGTGGATCTATGAGAAATTGATGAAAATATTTCGTTTCTTTGGGCCTTACTTCCCTGTCTGAAATGCAGAAGAGCCAAATATACCTGGTTTGTTTCAAACTATACAGTTAAGAACTGTTGTAGAAGTTTTACCTATAATCATATTTATTATATATACTTTCTATATATAATATGCATAATAAATATCTACTTCCTATATAATTAATAAATATAATTCCTATTCTATATACTTCCTCTTAAAAATAGAAAAACCAAAAAAATGATTTAACTAAAAAATAGAAGTGCTGAATTACCGACAATCATAGCTCTTTAAATTTGTGGATCAAAAACTGTTAAGAACTATTTTCTTCTCCTTTGTTGAAAATAGTAAAATTTTGCCCATGGAATCTTCTTGAGCCTGAATTTCCTCATCTATAAAAGAAAGGCTTATAACCAGTAGATAATCAGGAAGTTATTTTAAGTACAAATAGTCTGTGATTCTCTGTGATAAGTAACTGTCAGATCACTGATCTAAGAGAAAATGATCTAGAATTCTGTGTCCAGATTTCAATGCACTGCCTATAACCAAGCAATTTAATATCTCTATCTTTATTTTTTCAGATGCTTCTGACTAGAATCACAAAAAATTTAAAATAATTCATGTTAAGTTTTAGGAAAGCCATAGAATAAAGACTGAAATTATATAATACTGCATAAATCAGCTATTTACTATTTTCATATGTCACAACTGCTCCTTTATTGCTGCTTAGATTCTCATCTCTACAATTTAATTATCTCTTTTAGATTTATTGAGCACCTAATCACAGAAGACCTGATTTCAGGTACTAAGTAATGAGGTACTTTTTTTAGTGGCATAGCATAATTTCTTAATCCCTTTGCTACGGCATATAATTTAACTTTGGGGGTTTGTTTTTGTTTTGTTTTGGGCAACACCTGGCAATACTCAGGGTTTTCACCTGGCTCTGCAGTGGGAATCGCTCCTAATGGGCTCTGAGGAGCATATGGGATGCCAGGGATCCAACCCCTGTCAGCCATGTGCGAGGCAAGTGCCCTACTCTCTGTATATTGTTCCTGCCCTGGTGATAATTTAGTTTCTTAATCTCTACAGTTTCTTTATCTATTTGTTTCTTTTTCTACTGTTTTTATTTTTACTTTTGTTCCTTTGCTCTTAATTAACACATTTATCTCTGTTTATGATTTTCGTTGCAAATTTTTTCTCCCCCAATCTATTGCTATATTTTGAAAACAATCAATCATCCACTCTATGAACAATCCAGACACATCACTGAAACAATATATTTTCTAGAAAGAAAATGTAAGATAAAATAGATGTATGCATAGCAGATTATCCAAAAGGTTTAGCTATTAAATAAATAAAAGTAACGTTAAATCACCTCTTGCAAATACCCAGAACTGAATTTACCCTATGCTTTACCAAAGTACACCATATTTTAAATGTCCATTAATAACTGACAGAATGTAATATACATATTAGTAAATGATAAAAAATGTATTGAATCAAAATGTAAATAGGAAGAGAAAACTGTGAATATTGCTCATTTTTCTTTAAGGAACCAGCAAATCCTTTAAGTCAATACAATTTTTTCTTCTTTTTATATATGTACTTCATATACTTTCATCCACCGTTGTACAAATTTAAAGCAATAATTAAAATTGTACGTGCCAATCAAAACAAGTTATTACTCAGCGTTTTCTGGTTTTGAATATGTGCTAAACTGGTGAAAGGAAACAAATAAAGATAAGAACATTTTATTTTAAAAAGCCTTCGTAGTACAGACACCTACCTTCCTTTGCATTGGTGAGCTGGTGCTGCGCTGACCCAGACTAAGTGCTCTAAGTTCATTTTATACCCTTGACGATAATACCTCTTTGATCTTGTTTATATAATTGCATTTGAATCACTGCTTTCTTATCTGAAAGACATCTATTGAAAATTCATACTGAACCCCAAATAAAATGTGTTTAGACAAACAATTTCACAACATCTTCCTCTAGAAACTCTGACATTATTGCAGCATGAAGTTTTCCTCCTCGTATTTCAAAATAAAATCATTCATTTAAATTCATTCTTTGTTAATATTTATTAACATTAACAAAGAACATAGAAGGAGATAAAAATTAATGAAAAATGAGCCATTGACATCATCTAAGAAAGTGTTGGGAATAAAAATTTATTTGGGGTTTGAGTGCCCCAAATTTTACTCAAATACTCATTTGGAGACATGCATAATTATGGCTTATCTACACAAAACTAAAGCAACTTCTCTGTGGAACTTCAGGGCAATTGGCATATATGTTGCAATTAAAACAAAACTTAGAAATATATTTTTAAGAACACCTAAGTTTTTTCTTTGGACTTGA